GGATGGCTCGCATATTCAACTCCTGCAAGCTGACCTGTAGACAGGTTTCACCTAACGATACATCGATTATACAACTGACTGGGCTGGGCAATACGCGCTACACAGCGATACCGATAGGCATGCAGACCAGCTCAACGGCGAGTCAACCGTGTTCAAGCACAGCGCTACTCGAGGCCTACCGTAGCCACCGAGCGTGCCGATACAACACATTCGATCACACACGGATCACAAGGACCGAGGGATCTACCATTTTACTGCTTTCAGTTCTGCTAGCGATCAACAAGTGATCGCTCACACTGGGATTTATAACCAGTTTGCCGTTTTTCCAACCACAACGGAAGCCGGATGCACCATATCAAGCGTATGCAGAAGCATACTATAACGGGCGGCTGTACCTCTCGACTGTCGTCGCTCGACACGCCATGTCATGTAAACACACAGGGTAGCCTTCTCATCAGCATGATTCGACGCCGTCGGTTCATCACTCCCAAGCAGTAGCTGCAAGCCACACGCTCAGTCTGAGCGACTACTAACGCATCATAATCGCTCACTGGTATACGCCAGCCGCTTTGCTCTGTGCTCGCTCAACTGTCACCAGTTGCTTCAGAGACTGCTTCCCTGCTATAGACGTCTCATAATATGCGAGTAGATAATTCGTATCCTACGAGTTACGTTGCGTCAAATACACTCAGAATGTGTGTGTACATATATTTCTGCACTCGTAGAGCACTAGTCTGACCATCATACCTGACCATGTTAAAAAAGTAGTTTGGCTCCAGAGCACTCAAAAATCAGTTTAGCCATGGATGGTGGTTATCGGTATTCCGGCTCTGTTCATGCTCGAAGAAGGTCAACCATCGAGCTGGAGTGACAGACGGGTGTCTGGGACCAGAAAACGCTAAAGTTTGGTCGAAGATGGGCTAAAAGTCAAAGTTGCCCATCGAGCTGGAGTATTAGAAGAGTGTCTGGTACCGGGAAATACTAAAGTTGAGTGCTTTTCTAGTGAAAAGGTTGCCATGTACGTTTCTGGTCGAAATGTAGCGAAATGGGCATTCGATCAGGCGAGTAGATAGGTCTGTCTAGTGAGTAGCTGAACATCAGAAAACGGGAAATTTGACAGCAAGTCGAGTGACAATGTTTGGAAATGTGCCGCTAGTCAGTGCATGTCGATCGGGACAGGGTACCGGATACCCGTAAACTCAAAGTTCGGATCGATATGTCGACATTATGGTCAAGGTTGGCCGACGGGAGCAGTTGACTGAGCGAGTAGACAGGTATGTCTGGCGAGTAGATAAGTATTGAAAAACGTGAAATCTTTTGGGAGATGGCAAAGCACAAGAGCTACTGCTGATCAATGTTGGTGAGTACGGGCGAATGGAAATCCGATTTCGGAAGATAGCAAAATTG